ATTCCATACCAATTGAGTGGCTTCTACTCGAAAAAATGTATACTTCTTTGGGATTGTTTCTATCTAACTATGCTTTGACTGTCCATTTATTGAGAATTGGTCAATTTAACGTAAATCCTTCAAATGAATTAATCCGTTCGCTTTAATTTGTGTATGAAAGTCATTCGATACTCTTTATTGGACAAAATGTAAATTTTTAGCATTCCTTTGAAACAATAGAATTATTGATTATATTTTTAAGATTCAAAGATTCATTAACGTAGCTATAAAAAAGATCAACCGGGCTTGATTGAAGTTAGCTCAAAAATCAAGCTGTTGAGCGCGTCCATTACTTCTTATATCAAGAAATGTCGATCCAAAAAGACCGTATAAGTCAAGACGATAGCTCAGAGTCTCGTACTAAAGGTGAAAAAACTGTTACAACAATTCTCACGCAGAGAGATTTTATAGGTATCTACAAAATCACATTGAAGCAAAAATCCCTCTCAACTTCTGCGTCAATTACTGCAGTCGCAAGACAGTACGAGTAAAAGGGAGAAATAGAGAGAGAGAGAGAGAGAGAGAGAGAGAGAGAGAGAGAGAGAGAGAAACGGTTAAATCTCGATGGAACGCGCATCGCCACTCGAATTTCCTAATGATATTGAAGCAGACAAGCGCAATAAAAAGTAGTCGCGAAATTCTTGGGCTATAGCTCGCCACAGCTTTTCAACGGAAATTATAGCTGTTCGAGAGTGTTAACTTACAGTTGTTTTCTCGAGTGCTTGCGCGCGAGCAGCGCTCTGGGAATAGTTGAGATTTTTAATTACCCTCATGTGTATGTGTATGAGTGTGTGCATAGATGTAAGTATTATTAACGAGTTGATAATTGATATTGCACAATTGACGCAGGATCCTTACATTGTGCTCGGGAATTCCATGTCGCTAGAGAAATTTTGTCGCTCTGACGCGTGGCCGCTGCGTTATTTATCAATCGCCGCATCCGCTGACTTTCCAATCTTGCTGAACTGTACGTGTGTGCAGGCAAACAACTAGATGAAATAGCCTTCGTTATTCCAGCGATACGAAAAAATCCGAGCGTGTGCAGGGCGTGGTGTACGTATATATATTTCAAGTGTTTGTGATAGATCGACGAGTTTTATATGCGGGGGACATACGTATCAAATAGGATCGATGCCTCGAAGGACAAATGTATTGGATAAATGTATAACACATACACACACATACACACACCGATCCCTCTGGGCGGGTTGTCTTATACGTATAAATCGAGATAAGACCCGCTCGAGTACTTGTCGAGCAATCGAGAGTATTATTACGTATCTTGGGAAACTCGTCGGCGATTATCGTTTAACTGGGACCTATTTGTATGGCTCATGCGCCGCCGCACCGAGCCGCTGAGCGACAATATGAGGATTATTTGTATCATTGTGCTCGGAGAGAAAGAGAAAGAAAGGATAATTCCAGTGAGATTGGTCCATCGAATATCGTGTATAAATATTCAAAAACGCGCATTCGAGCCTTTTTCAAATCAGAGCCTATACCAAGTTGCCTTGAAATTGAAAATTTTTACATTCCCGTCAATATTCAGCGAATTATTAAAAGTAACTTTTTTAATAAATTTATAGGAAATAATTGATTTTAGAGGTGCATGAAGAATTTTTATCTTGCTCATTCACTCGTTTTTGCAAAATAAAGGTTTATTATTTTGAATACTTAAATCACGCGAGTCAAATCAATTTTTATTTAAAGTTTTTCAAAAATGGTGTTGTAAGTCGAAGTATTGAACATTTGTTGTAAGGCACATGGTTTAGCTAGATACAATTACGTTCTGTAAATAATTTGAAATTATGCAGCAGAATCTGCCTGTTGCGATCACACTTGATGTACCGATCAGTATGTTTAAACACTTTATCCTAATCCCATGTCATTCTATTGATATATATAATCAAAATTCTGTGGGTGAATATTTTTAAACATAAACGTGTAATGTTGTAATCGTCAATTTATTTGTCCAATGATGTAAAAATGTTGTATGTTCAATGTTACGATGCATTTTTATTATTGACCAAGTAACCTTACTATCCTAGGTCACAGATCCTTACTTCCCGGTACTTAATGTATTTAAAGCCAATTATGTTGAGTTTGAACTCATACAGATTTTGGTTAATTTTTAAAAATATTCAATTTTTTATTGGATAGTATATTACTGCCTTAGGCAAAATAGAAAAGTCCCAGAGCACGTTGCATTAGCGATAAACACGTGCTTTGTGGCTTTCTTTTTTCGTGGTATAGGCCGGTTGTATGCTATTTTTCATACACGCAGTGTCCCGAAAATCGCTCGTCCCGCTTTGCGCAGTGAAACGGAAGTAGTCACTTTCGGGACGCTGGTATGAAAAATTTTTTGCAATTTCATATCTCGTAAAGGAACTATTTTTGGGGGAAAATGATGCGAACAAAAAAGTCATAGAATCAGTCAAAGATGGAATTTTTCAGAATTTTCAAGACCTTTTTCAGAGACCCCTAAAATCTTCTAGCTTCTTAAAAATGATAACACAACTTATTGCATTGTATTGAAAATATCAGTTTTACTCCACGAAAATTAAACGAAAAACTAGTTATGACCTTCAATAGGCAAAGGACAAACAAAAACTTGAATGCAATTTTTTCTATAGTCATCCAGCTATTATGATATCCTGAAGTGATTAAAAGGAAGAGAGAGAAAAAATAATAATAATAAATTAAACGACGCTCAAATTACAATTTATTTCAAAAAATTATTGAAGTTATCCAATGAACAATAATTATTAAATTTATTTTTCATGTTGTACTTTCGTGTTAAGCTAATGATACATTTTTATGAACTTATTCGATGATTAGTACAAATAAATTGCTAGTATTTTATAGGTGATAGTAACAGTGGTAACCTGCCAAAAAACTTCTTCTGATTTGTTTGAAGCAATAACAAACAAGGTCTCTCATTCACTTAGACCGCAACACCTTCTTTGTTATTCTTCCAGACAAATCAGTAAAATGACCATTTTGTAACAATCTGAAAACGCCGTATTTAAAAGAGGGAAAAATGAAAGAGAGAGAGAGAACGAATTTTAGTTGTGTAATTAGGATTTTTCGATAGTTTCAAGAGCATTTCACTTTTACAATTTATTGTTTCTTCCCTTGGGCAATACCGGTGCGTCACTACGATGCAATAATGATGTACATAAACTTAAAACAATTCGTATTAATATAACATACATAAACATTTACGTGGTAGAACAAAGAAAATGGTAAAATAACGGACCTGAGCTTCGCTTGTCAGTGAAATAGGTAGTTCACAAGTGGTGCATATATTTGTTTCATCACTAGCTAATGCGTGAAATATCACTTATTTACCGATTTTTTCCAATAATGAACAGTACTTTATTGAATTAAAATCTAGTAGACGCATTACAAATAAAAAATGAGGAGGAAAAATGCTAACGATTAAGCGTAAAAAAAGAGATTAGTTGAAAGATTTTAAATACTGTACGCTTTGTTAATTGCTTTAAACTTAATACTCCGATGTTCAAAGTCCCGTATAAGTAAAAAATTCGTACCTACACAATACGTCAATTATCCATTTGACTGGAGCACATACACAGTGCCTATTACACACACTATAATGATTTCTACCTATCGAAATATTTAATAAATAATCAGTCTTTGCTCTTTGTCAGTAGATAATAAATCTTATCGTTAAGGACACACGCTTGCGCGTGCGCGCACACACACGCACACACACTCGAATACACGTAGTGCAGACACACAAATTGAACTAGTCGTGTGCGAATTAAATTATACATCAACTGTAAGATTTTCAACTGAATGAAGTTTTATTTTTATTTTTTTATTTTTTTCATTTTGTTTTTCGTAATACCCGACACAATGAAAGAGTATTTTCTTGTATAAAAAAGTTTAAAATTGCGTAAAAAAGCTTTTACCCAGGGTAGATTTTGTTTTAAGCATTTATACGTACACACTTTATAGTTGTACTAAAAATGAATTATATCAACGACGGTACAAGCCTCTTGTCTATATAAACTTTTAGGCAGAGAAAAGATATTTTCATTTAATGAATTGTGTATATACCTTTGTTGAACGACTCCATAGCAGCAGCCGCACCAAATTACGAGTACAATTCGCGCGGCGCAATTTTTATCGCTACTAGCATGTGAGAAGGAGAAAAAGAGATCGCTGTCGGCGGTCCAATGAGTGCCTTGTTACGCGATCGACAAGAGATCTCGGCTGTCTCACGGCAATGTAGGCCTTTAGGAAGGAAGATGTTTGTAATATTTTTTTGATAAATCAAAATCTCCTCGTTGGCGAGCGATACGCGCGCATACGTGCGAGAAGCGAGCACATGCACTTTCGCGTGCGCTGCAAGTATGTGTGCTATCGTGTGTGTGCCGCACTTTCTCTGGCACTGAAATGTATTATGTCACGATTCGGGCCCCACGCAGAACAGCTGCAGCGCCGAGTTCCAGACCCGCTCGCTCCTTTACCTACCGCTCGAATCCTTCTTTCTTTTCTATTCCATAATACTAGCTCTCGTGGTCACAGCTATTTTTTCCGACAAATTTCATGCTACGTTATACACGACGTTTTTTTATTTTCGTAAATGCACTTATAACCGATGTATCGTGAAATAGCGACTTTGCTTGTCGTTTTTTCGCCTTCGTTGATCTTTTCTTCGAGGAAGTAGTTTAGATAGGACGAGGACACGTCAGTTACGGTTTGATGGAATAATTGCCTTGTATCTCACTGACGTCGTCATTTTGCTGACAACGGCTTTAATCTGCTGCTGCAGCTTGTTTGTGCATTTGAGATAAATATTAAAAATCGTTCGATTAATATGCTCATTATAAGCCGAAAAAGCTCATAATGAAAAAACTTTGAATCGTACATCTTTCAATATAAGAAAAATCAAAAAAATCGATTTATATTAATCGATGACTTTAGTACAATTATCGATTGCCTTTATTTTCATTCATGACACGCTTGATCCAGTCCACGAATCGAAACACATCACCAAACACGTCAGGTAGACCCAGAGCGCATGGAACGACCCACGATGTTACCCCAATGATCTCGTCGTCCTTGAACAAGCCGCCTCCACTGTCCCCCTGGCGACAAAATTTCATCGGCATTAAATTACCTCAAGTGCGACGTACTGTATAAAAGATTATCTTACATAGCACATGCCAACTTGTTTTTTTCTGCTAAAGGCGCATATTTCAGTGCTGAATACATGTCTCGATCTTCGGCGACCATTTCCGTTTAACAGATTTTCGCATTTGTCCCAAGGAATAATTTCCAAATTGGTGTAGTGTTGCTCGGTCGATTTCTTGCCTGATATCGAGGTTCTTCCCCACCCAGCAGCTATTACGGCATCACCCAACTGAGCTGATCTCGATGGTAGTTTTAATTTTTGTATTCTCTCGGATAATGTTAAATTTTTTTGCAACTGTAAAATAGATACTTATTATTTACATATATAAGACAATGAGAACAAAAAATAATACACTCAACAGCACACCGTAACAATAGCGATGTCGTGAGCTGAATGATTGGCTTTGTTGAACAAATAAAAAGGATGCTTGGTAACGTTAGCAACTGGATGAACTTGGTGCTTGCTGTCGAAAATAGCAATGGTATCAGTGACTACAGTGACGTTACGGTACGGTGGCTTAAGGGCACTCGGAAAACAGTGAGCAGCCGTGAGAATGTGTCGCTCGCTGATTATGCTACCTCCGCATTGATGCAACCCGTTCAGACGTATTATCACTTGATGAGGAAATTGGTGGAGCTGCGACCGAGTTCCACCGATAATTCGGCTTTGCTTCCGACCTAGAGTTCCTAATTTTTTGCGAATTTTATGGCTGTTCGTGGAAATTGAAATTTAGAGTCAAACCTGCAATCAGAGCTAAAAACAATCCTGCAACGAGCTTCATTGCGTTAAAATAAAACTAAAGTCCATGCTTCGTCGACAAGTACTTCAAAATCGTGAAAAGCAAGTCATAAAAAATAACTCATTATATTTACTTTCTTCCAAATGCGTGTTTGTAATGAAGTAATAAAACAAAGTTAGCAGTACTGCCGAGATAAGCATTTAAATTTCAGTTTAATTTAATTTTTAATCGAGGGAAAAATTTTTTCTTTCCATTTATTACGAAAGCTTGATCAAGATGTATTGATACGCAATGCACCATTTTACCTTGGTGTTGTTTATGATGTTCTCTTTGAATGAAGTGAAAATTACAATATAATTTGCCTTTAAAACGAGCAGCGGTGTTTGACACGTTTCTGTAGTGAAAAATAAATTGTTTTACTTCATGGAGAGCGGATTGCAATTAGCTATATAACTCGAGTGCACTGCTCATTGGTTCTGCCGATCCGCGTAATAATTTGACCATAATTCAAGGATCGGCTCAAGCGATTGATTAGAAATTGGGATGTATAAATTGTCAGACAGAGAGCTAAAGCTAGGACGGATTAGTTGCAATGCAGCTGCAGTTGGAGTTTGCGATATGCGGTGGCCTCAAATACGCTCGAGGCGCGCACACCATAGCTCTGATTCATCCAAACGATTTCTCGGTACGCATCTTTGCCTTCTTGCTCGCATTACGTATCTATTGAAATCATATGTCGTTTTATGGATGGGAGCTGTTGCAAGCGTTTGGATGAGTGTGCGCGTCGCCTCTGCGTAAATCGAGCGCTAATTTAGTTTATGCAAATTATGGCGCGGCTTTTGCGAAAGACAGCGCGCGAGTGATACACGCGCGCTTGACATTTCTTTTATTGAATCTTATCGATCTGTGGCATGACTGTACAACCTGTGCCGATCAAAACTCGACGTTTCAACGATCGCATGATTTTTAACGCTCAAGGCGGAGTCTGCAAAGTATATACAGAGATGAATAGCGAGGAAAATCTCTGGCTGCTGAGTAAATAAATCTTTCGAATCGCCATACCGGATTCGAAGATATCATGAGCAAACTAACTTGGTGATATATCATACGCAACTAGAATTTTCAATGTTTGCAGGACACTCAGGATTTATTATCCCTTTAAGTCTAAGAAAAAAAATTCAACCAAAAATTAGATAAACATGTCTATCGCCAAATCCAATTAAAAGATTTTCTGCTCGAAGGTACATAGCGCAACATACGTAATACACTAGGAATCGAGGATTTTTAGGCTTTACCGAGGCCATTAACGAGTCTTAAAATGTGTGGCCTTTTGTTACGATTTAAAATTTTTTTATGCGTGCGAATATCGATGTTCCATTGACGTGCTTTACAAAAGAAAATTATACAAATCTACACGATTAATTGAAAATTTGAGTTAACCTTATATTTTTCATTCAATTGGAACGCAAATAAATTTTCAATTTCAAGCGAACAAGTATTCAAGGCGTGCTCGCGACATACCTAAAATATTATTTAATACATTACGTGCTCGTAATCAACTTTCAAGGTTTGGTCTTGATTTATACCATAAAAAGTTAAACCATTTCATATAGTTTTTTTTGTAAATACATACAGCTTAACGGAGTATAGCCGAGTACATTTTTAAAATCAGGATACTAGACCGATTGGTCGTGCGTGCGCCTAATTTTTTAATTACTCGGACACACTCGAGCTCAAGCTGTACCTCGACGTTAAGTAACTCTCGGGTTCTTAGGTACTTAAGATTTCATTTCTAATTTATAAGTCAAAAAATGTAGAATTTAACATCGACGTGTTCCACACTAGTATGCGTTTACTTTTTAATACCTCTAAAAAATGATTCTACGTTGTGTATCTATTGAGTCGTGATTTTTCTGCTATAAACGGTGTGACACCCTCGCTCTGTATCTCCTTCTCAATCGCCTAGGATTAATGGATGCTATAATCGTACAAGTAAACGTTGTCGCGAAAAATTAATTGCTAAAGCAGCAATACAATCAATGTGCAATATTTTAGATAAGTACGTGTTTTTATCGTGTACAGCACGTCAAGAGCTGCGACTGCTACAAAAACACAAAAAGAATGAATGATGTAGATGTTAGAAAGGACAATAATTATCAAGAAACGCGCGAAGGTTGAAACTTTAAACACATTTCAGTGTCTGGCGTAAAGAGTCCAATTGTTCCTTATTGGGGCTGATCTCTGGAAGAATCCGATTAGTGAAAGAGACGATACAACAAAGCCTTGAAATTCGTAAAAGTCCGAGACTTGTGTCGTTGCACGCGACGATTCTAATAAATTGCCTGTAAAACGAAAGAGAAAAACGTTTTTTTACTTAATTTACTCTTAACAAGAAAATTGTAAATCTGCGTAGTTCAAAAAGTCTCACGAGTACCTTTTTCCTTTTATCTTTGTTTAATTAAATGCAGTAAAATAATTGACAGCATATATTTTACTTGAATAAAAAGGCTTTCAAATGTTATATTATTTGAGTAAAAGTAGAGTTATCTCTAAAATTTTAAACACCAAGCTGAATAATTGAAAATCAGTATATTACTGTCTTAAGCGACAAAAAATAGATGAGACTTACAGCTTCTCTTCTCTACATAGAAATCTTTTCAAAAAAAGTGACTATAGAATGTTATTTTAATGTGGAAAAAAACGATGAATAAAATTTTTTTACTCTTCAAGTAGTAAATACTGTTGTCTACGGCGTTGCTAAGTTCAAAGGCAAAAAACGTCGGTTAATTTTCATTCACACCTTAATCAGTAATAATCTTAACATGTAAGTATAGCGTCATAGAGCCAATTCCTGTTTTGAGTATGCAGGACAATAATAATAATAAAACATTGGTTTAGTCGCGGCAAAATCCTCGCATTCACTGTGAAAATTTTGGACCGGAATTTGTATGCAGGATACGCTTTATCTAGTGTCAATGACAGTGGAAATTAATCTTGCCCGGCGGAAAAGTGGTTAGTAATTGTTTAAATCGATTTATTTAAACAAATGAGGAAAATGTAAAATATTGGCTTGAAACAATATTGTCTAGATAATTTGGGCTATTTTGAAGAGAACATGTCTCTTGGTAATTTTCTCTAAAATGCTTATTTTTCGAGTTATAAGCGATTCAAAATGAAAAGAAACACTAATTTTGCCATTTTCGATCGTTTATAAGAACGAGGAAAAATAATAATTTGGATGTTGTTAGCGTTTTTATTTCTACAAGAGTTTTCGTGATACTACAACCAGAAAAGTTAATTGTAAATTATTTTGAATTTATAATCTTTTAATTTAATGATTTATCAAGTACGAGTAGCAAACATCGCATTTGACGACATAGGATAAATAATGACGGTAGAAACAGTATTCAAAGTTGCCGACGTGAACTCAAATGGTATATAAATTTGATGCGTCGAGTTCATATGATACCTACATTACCAACTTCAAAGCGATCATTGAAGCTTCAAGCAGTTTGATAAAGCTTAAGCTTCATATAGGTAAAATTTCGTAACGGCTAGGCGCCGTATTCGATCTAAAAATACCCCATTTTCGAGTGCCGCCAACTTGTAACTACATCACTATAGAGAAACCGCCAACTGAGGCTACTTTAGCTGCTATAACAAATCAGCAATTAAGAGTTGAGAATGTTGAGACTTGAGTGAGTCTGAGCCTGAAGAGAGGACAGAGGAGGTCGAAGTGAGATCAGAGTATCAGACGCTGCGCTTGCGCGGCTGAACTATGCGATTCGCGAATCGCGATTCGCAAGTACTGCCATCACGAGTCCACCGCTGCTACAATTTATATATCAGTATAATATATATATATACATATATGCGCGCTGAACGCGGCTGCAAAGTTATAGCCAAAATCTAGGTGAGGGAGGCAAGCGGGGTGCACGAGACCGACAGCACTGAGCAGTAGCGCGCAAACCTACAGAGACGAAACTAACACGAGGGGAACGTATATAGATTGCTCGTAAGAGTCTAGCTTCAGTTCGGCAGCAGTTCTCTGGTGGCCGGTTCAAGAAGGACTGCCACTCGGAGCGCAAATAAACCCGAAAATCCCGTATACATTGCACCGATCCGATCATATTTGCAGACACGGCCACGCATTGATTTAGCATCATGTCTTACTGCGTTCGCATTGTGCAAGCTCAGGTAGGAATGCATGATAATTGACACTATCCCATTTTTATCTCACTCACTCTCTCACTTTCACAATATGTCCAACTTTCCTGCTTTTCTGCGCGATGATGTGCGCTATCTGTCTCGTCGTTCGTCACTGCGACTCGGTTGTGCAAAGGTCACAAAGGAGCGACTTATTTTTGTTACGTCTGTCACTCTACGACCAAATAATAACATACTAGTATGATCTAATAAGTCCCTGTCACTTTCTTTCAAACATTTGAGGCAATTGCTCGCACCAGTCCAGTATTTTTCCTCCACATATCTCCACAACGGTCGACTCTGCCAGATAAGCAGAAGACAACCGTTTCGCTCATCATTTCTCTATTCTTTCATCAAAATTATGCAAACTGCTCAACATTTTCAAAATTGCTTCGGTACACTAAAATAAAGTCTTATGTTTAAAAATTAAAAATCGTTTAATCACGTGTGCGTTCGTCAAACTGTTATTTCATAAGAATCTGGATATTCTTTCAAACGTTCGGCATTACATAATGTCTCGTCGTATATTTGCCGAGTTGTTCGCAATTTCTAGATCGAGAAAGGTTATGTTAGACTGCATTTTGGCTCGTTGCATGGCATACGTTGCACGCTAATTTTTTAAAATCTCTTTTATCAAAGAGCTAAATATTTTGCCGTGACTTTTTTAAAACAAGATGTTTTTTTTATAACTTTTACAGACATAAAACAATCTATTGCGAAAAATTAATAGGTCAGACAGAAAAAATTTATCCAATACAACGATAGTTGAAAATGACGTTTGTACAGGTTACGAATAATCAATATATAATGCTCTGAGTACTACATAAAATGGAAAATAATAAAATGATAAGTAAAAAGTATCATAGATTGATTACATAGTCTGCTCTGTACCCCTGTCACTACTGTTTACACTGATAAGATAACACAGAGGTACTCATTATTTAAGAAAATTAGTTCGAGCATTTAATAATTTTAGCTGTTTTCTTTTCAGAAAGTAGCAAATTTTGCTGCTGAAGTTCAGCAAAGATGTTTCAGCACCAGTCCACTGGCTTTTGCTGCTGCAAAGGTGGCAATGTCCAAATTTGACAAAACAGCTTATCTTCCATATGACAAGCTTGAAGATAATTTGAAAATTGTAAAAAAAAGGTAAAATTTACTTGCATTCCATTCAATATATTTATTATAATTCAATATTATTTCTTAAAATAGAAACTTTTTCTTTTAGGCTTGATCGACCCTTGACGCTTTCAGAGAAAGTTTTGTATGCCCATATAGATGAACCCCATAAACAGGATGTTGTTAGAGGTACAAGCTATTTACGTTTGCGACCTGACAGAGTCGCCATGCAGGATGCTACAGCTCAAATGGCTATGCTCCAATTTATCAGCTCAGGTATATATGAACTTGAAAAAATATGTATAAGTTACATAAAAAATTATATTACTCTTGCATTGCATTGTACGTTAATTTAACTGTGTGTATTAAATTTTGATTTAATACTTAATCTTTTGTAATAATTTATAAATATATATTATTTGACTAACATGTATAATTGTATATGTAAGGACTACCAAGAGTTGCTGTTCCATCAACCATCCACTGCGATCACTTGATTGAAGCCCAAGTTGGCGGAGAACAAGATTTAAAAAGAGCAAAAGATTTGAATAAAGAAGTTTACAACTTCCTTAAAACAGCTGGTGCCAAGTATGGTGTAGGTTTTTGGAATCCTGGTTCTGGAATCATTCACCAAATTATTTTGGAAAATTATGCTTTTCCTGGACTCTTGATGATTGGTACTGATTCGCATACACCAAACGGTGGTGGACTTGGTTGCTTGTGCATTGGTGTTGGAGGTGCTGATGCTGTAGATGTTATGGCTGATATTCCTTGGGAATTAAAATGCCCTAAAGTATTATTATTTCAGATATTAGTAAAGTACCTCTATTCAAGATATTAATGTATATGAAATTGTTCTTTAGGTCATTGGAGTCAAGCTTACAGGTGAACTCAAAGGGTGGACTAGTCCTAAGGACATTATTCTTAAACTTGCTGGAATTTTAACAGTGAAAGGTGGTACTGGGGCTATTGTTGAATACTTTGGCCCTGGTGTTGATAGCATTAGCTGTACTGGTATGGCTACCATCTGTAATATGGGAGCGGAAATTGGTGCTACAACATCAATTTTTCCATACAATGACCGTATGAAGGATTATCTCAAGTCCACTCAGCGAGGTGATATTGCTTCTGCTGCCGATTCCGTCAAAGGATCCCTTTTAACTGCTGATAGTAATGCCAAATACGACCAAATTGTTGAAATTGATCTCTCGACCCTTGAACCTCATGTTAATGGACCATTCACGCCTGATCTTGCTAATCCTATTTCACAATTGGGTATGTATGACATTCTAAATTAATCCTATTTAATTCTTTAATATAAAAGTAATGCAACTATTTTGAATATATTAAAATTATAATATAGGTGCTAATGCTCAAAAGAACGGCTGGCCTAATGAAATCAAAGTCGGTCTTATCGGTTCTTGCACCAACAGCTCGTATGAGGACATGGGTCGTTGCGCTAGTATCGCCAGACAAGCTATGAAGCATGGCCTTAAAGCAAAATCTACCTTCAATGTAACTCCTGGCTCCGAACAAATTCGTGCAACTATCGAACGTGATGGAATCGTAAGTTTTTATACATGACACTTAATAATAAATATTTTTTATATATTTATAAGTATTATAATGAATAGATTAACTTGCCACGTTTGCCAATAACTTTTAAACTTTATTGTTTTAATATACAGACAAAAATTTTAGTGTAAGACGTAAACATGTTTAATGCCAAATGGCTAATGCTTATGTTCAGTTCTAAATGTTTTTCGGAACTTTAATGGGTTTAGTAATAATGAAAAGCAAATTTGAAATCAAATCTAACAATGGCTTCAAGTGCGTATAATATTCGTAAAATGTATACAGCCAATTGTGCATATCCGTTTTACCGCATTGACATAACAATGAACAATGTATTTATAAAAATTAGCTTTTTGACGTGCAAACAAATTTATCGTGTATATGAGTATGATAGTTGACGTTAGACTCTTTTTTACCTAAATTTTAATGTTAATCTAATTTGTGTATTAGGCTAAAACTTTACGCGATTTCGGAGGTATTGTCCTCGCCAATGCTTGTGGCCCTTGCATCGGTCAATGGGATCGTCAAGACATCAAGAAGGGAGACAAAAATACCATCGTAACTTCTTACAACAGAAACTTCACCGGGCGTAACGACGCAAATCCCGCTACTCATGCCTTCGTTACCAGTCCCGAGCTCGTAACAGCTTTATCAATTGCTGGACGTCTCGATTTCAATCCTGCCAAGGACAAGTTAAAGGGTGCCGATGGCAAGGAATTCTTGTTAGACAGCCCATATGGTGAGCATTTACCCTGTCTACTCTTCGATTAAGTTATTTCTACAACGATGTGCATTCGATTTTATAGGCGATGAGCTGCCGAGCAAAGGTTTCGATCCTGGTATGGATACCTACGATGCTCCACCCAGCGATGGAAGCAAGGTGAAAGTAGATGTCGACCCAAAATCGCAGCGTTTGCAGTTGTTGGATCCATTCAATAAATGGGACGGTAAAGATCTTACCGATATGACTGTACTGATCAAAGTTAAAGGAAAATGTACGACCGATCACATCTCGGCTGCTGGCCCATGGCTCAAATACCGTGGTCATCTTGACAATATTTCTAACAACATGTTCATTGGGTAAGATTTTTACAATAAAAAAAAAAAATTTTGTCTACATGAAAAAATTAATCCTGACTACTTACAGTGCCACCAATTCTGAGAACGGAGAAATGAATAAAATCAAAAATCAACTGACTGGCGAATGGGGTGGTGTACCAGATGTAGCTCGTCATTACAAAAAGAACGGAGTTGAATGGGTAGCCGTCGGTGATGAAAACTACGGTGAGGGTTCATCTCGGGAACACGCCGCCTTGGAGCCACGTCATCTTGGTGGTCGCGCTATCATCGTTAAGAGCTTTGCTCGTATTCATGAAACAAATCTTAAGAAGCAGGGTCTTCTGCCACTTACTTTTGCCAATCCTTCTGATTACGATAAAATTCATCCAACTGACAAGATCAGTTTACTTGGACTCAAAGATCTCGCCCCTGGAAAGGTAGTTACAATTATTGCTTCACTTATAGAATTTTTTTCTTCAACTATTCAACCTGATTAATGTTTTTAAAGCCTGTCAAGTGCGAAATTAAACACGCTGATGGAAAAGTAGATACCATCACACTAAATCACACCATGAATGAACAACAGATTACGTGGTTCAAGGCAGGTTCTGCACTTAACCGAATGAAAGAAATTGCTGCTGGCAAGTAAAGCTCGCGCCTTTCGCGATTCAACAAGAAAATGTCACAGTGAAATGGTCACGTTTCTGCAGCTAGTTCATATGCTTAGTACATGAAATTTTAGACAAGAAAAATTCTTCAGTGTAGCTGCAATTCTGCGATCTTGAGATGCACACCTCAAACATCAATGGTAAAAAAAATAAACTCCGATCGTGAAATAGCAACTGAACACAAATTGATGATAATAATAATCGTTAGTTAAATAATATTGTTATTTCTAGTAATTTGATAATATTTACGAAGCAATGCAAGAAATGTTACGCAGTGGCTTTCAAGTGAACGATAGGTGTATTTGTTATTTTTTAAGAGCGGCTACAAAAAATGAAAGATTTAAACAATTTTATCATGTTCGTACCGAATGTTACATTATTACACTAGTATTTATAAAAAATCTTTGATAACTCCTGGCAAAAAAGGACAACATCAACAGCTAAACTCTGACGATAAAACTACCAAAGACACTTTCACGGGTCGGTAAAACATGACATTTAATGATTATGTTTTAAAAAGCAGCAACGATTAAAGCGATTAATATCATGTATCAAAAATGAAAATGCTCGAAAAATATCTCACGACAAAGATTCTAACGATAAAATCTAGCATGCTAACAGTACAAGTTTTCAAGAATGATTTCTTTTCATTATATTCTATGCAATCTATTATAATTTTTTCCGTTGAATCGATACTATTTTGTTTTGAAGTACTTTATAAAAAGAAACATAGATGTGGTTTGATTGTAGCTCTTCTTCCGCTTGAATTCAATGAAAAGACGTGTACGCCCCAAGTTGATGGTTGAGCAACTTCAAGCCATATCTAGAATCTTTTTAATTAATTGTACATATATATTTTTAAACCATACCAATTGTGCTTGAAATCAATAGAAAAATATCGTGGCTGTACATGAAAAATACCTCCAATTTTGATTAAAGAGCTCGGTACTGCAGTATTCCTTCGAGATCTATTTTATGTGATTACATTATACTTTGTTTTATATAAGAGTAATATAAAAATGCGTGTTGAGCGTCGGGTGTGTGCACGTCAATAGCCTCTCACGATTGTAATCGAACGATCGAATCATTGTCATTTATTTGTGATTGTATAAAAGATGAAATAAAAACTAGTTGAAAAAAAATAAAAAAGGATCATTTCATTTGCTCGTTGACAATCGGATCAAAGGCGCTAGTACGAGCTATGAACAATCAGCGTAACGTGTGTACATTCGTGCATGAGCGGCGAACAGCTGTTTCCAGTCGTCATGGAAACATTCCGTTGGTCAGTTGCAGTGTACACAAAGCACCATGTACCGTACAAGTTGATGGTTTAATTTTCGCTGGAAAACAACGAAATGAGCAACAACGACGTCGGTGAATTTTACCTGAGCCTGTCCGGTTCCGTGGAAAGTGGTAACTTTTACGAAATCGGAAACGCGTACTGCAAGTACGCCTATCAGTTTGGCCAAGATTGGAGCATCGTAGCCGTAAGTACTTGCTAGGCGAAGTAAATGTATTACAACTACTATATGCATATCGGGGAACGACTTTGAAATATACATATTGCATCAAAAGGGCATAGAGGAAGGCTTGACACAGATGAGTAAGTGCAGCAACGACTCGAGACGTTTGGCAATTTGGAACTTCCCTCTGGATATTGCCTTCAAGAGCACCAGTCCTCACGGTTGTAAGTATCTCCATGTAACTGTCGAATAGAAATAATGAATTTATAACGCGATGAGAAAGTGAGAGCAAATCATGGTGATATTGTCGCAGGGCCTCAACTTCTCCTATCGATCTACGGCTTAGACAGTTTTGGCCACGACGTAATCCAGGGCTACGGTTGCTGTCGTTTGCCTCCGCTGACCGGTCGTCACGAGAAACGGTGAGTCGTCGACCTGTCTCTTTGTCCCGAGTCAGGCAGGAGCTCTGTTCTACCGTCGTATTATATGCGCGCGTAGACGCAAGCCTGTGCAAGCTGCATTTTATCCGAGAGTCTGTGCGCCTTGCTGCCTAGGTATATATACATTTGATAATCTAAGTGAGTGGCAGCTCTGTTGCTGCCGTAGTACATTAAAGCTTTGATCGTCCCTCCATCGACGTGCTATATATGCATGTATAGACGCATGTATACAAGCAAAGAACGACTTTTGGAATAAATGTGCGTGAGGCGAGTAGCAGCAGCATTGACAGTGACATAAAAAATTCTTGTTCGAGAAAAAGAGTTTCCCCTACTAGACTGCAGCGGTACTGACGCATTGAATAAATCTCAATTATTTATAAGCGCGAAAAAGAAGGAAGCTAGCTAATTTCCATTCGTAGCGCGCCCCTTGGCTCGAAATTTAATTCGATCGAGGCGCTTCCGCCTCTTTTATAGTCTAATGGATCTTCTCGCGCTAATTACCAGCTTGCATACGGCTGCACGTTAGTCAATGTACACTTCCCAATATTTTACTCGTTTGCAACTTAACTCATTTGCATTAATAAAGCTCTTTTGATTGATATTATGCAATGGGTTTTATAAAAGTTTGTGAGTGCAGGATTGCCGTATATGTGCCCGAGTCGTCATCGCTTGTGCAACAGTTCGCCGCCTGGATAACGGGGAGAAGGCCAGAACTCGTCGATATCGGAATACTCGCTACCGGCGAGGGTAGAGAGTGTGAGTGTCCATCTACGATATACTGCTTTGCACTTGTATCTTTAATCATTTCTTTGATTGCAGTGACTCGAATGAGAGTACAGGGATACATCGATGTCACCTTCAACGTCGTGCTCAAGGACTTTTTTCAATTGGGTTACGATAATGGACAACTAGTCAGATGATATGCTTGAAGCAAACGTATTTGCCGGACATTTTTTAATTGCTCTCTCACTAGTGTACATGATTCAAACGTAATTCATACTTGTTGTACTTTGATGTATAGTAATTAAAATATAATGCCTAAACGCTCAGAAAATTAGATCTTATTTCTCAAAAGTACGTTGTCCAAATAGATTTGAGTACTGGCCGAGATATGTTCGTTGGTTTCTTGATATCAACACCCATCCTTGGTTGGATGCCTAGAAAAATTTACAAGACGTCGGTATAAATTTTCACATTAAAAAATTATAGAAAAACAAAATTATGTACTATTTTAAATTAGTTACATGCTATCGAATATAAAAAAAATAAAAAAGTTAAGATGTTCAAAAAGCGAAATCTATAAAGAAATTGTAATGATATGTACCTTTGAAATTTGAATAAGTGGATCGGTCATGAAGGAAGTCAAGGTCATATGCAATCCAAGGATAAGTATCGAGAAATTCAAGCACCACGCCATTAGTCCATCCGAAACCTTCTTGCACTTCGTATTCACCACCTCCACCGAATTTACCCGGTTGAGTGGCATCGTACTGAAAAGAAAAATTGATTGTAACGTTGATATGAAAAATGCTTGATATTTACAAAAATAGACATAAAAAAGGAGGATGCGTAACTATCCCGACAAGGAAAAATTGTTTGGTTAGACTCTCGGTTAAGCGTCACGAATAAGGATGCGATCCATTTCTCTCACGCTGAAACGTTTCCGCATCCCCCGTTATTTTTTTTTTTTTTCATGACCATATCGCGTGATGTCAATGTTATATACGTATGCGAGGTTCAGCACTTGGGTAGGAATCATTTCCTGCCGCGCGTCGTGGCTACTATGTAATTCTGATCACGCGAAAAATGCATCGCGCTTTATCGATCCTCTCCCGTAGGACTTTTCAACTTTCTTGCTATATTATTATAACCAGCGTTCCTGAAAATTCAACGAATTTTTTGATTTAGGAAGTACTGAGGTTGTAAGTTAGTGTTTTTTGTTGTTGTTTTTGTTATTGTTATTTGTATGCGTCTAAGACAAGTGCTTGTTTTTAGTATGCAATTATTATTTTTTACATATAATGAATTATTTTAATTCTATATTCCATTACACAAGTAAGGCTTGAAATCAAGTGATGTAGGTAAACCTTCCACTTTTATCATATAGTTTTATATAAATAAATTATTATCCATTATGTTTCATCACATACGGTTTTATAAAAAATACACCGTATTTCTTGTCAAATGTGCTTTATGATATTTTTCGAAAATCAAAGGTTTCGTGGACTCGTAAAATCGAAGGCGTGAAATTGACGCTTCTGAGGGCAATGCAGTAAAAGAAAAAAAAACAAGGGATACGTATATACATTTCCACAGCTGTGTGTATGTATATATATCACGAGGTATATCATAAAAGAACCACGAGAAAAAAAGTTTACAATTTTACGAACAGCTGTTACATTTTTCTCTATGTAAGCTCTGACTTTTTTATCGCTAAAAGAAAGTAAAAAGATTTAACTTAATTTAGACAGCATTGATTGATTAATACATCCTCTTGCTTCGGGGCTTTGATATTTCCTTTTGCGGGACATTTGTATGCAAAAAACCGTTGTTGGACGTCAACTTGTTCTTGGGTTAAAGCCAGATCAGCACGAATCGTAATTATACTTACAAACTTTCTTCAAAGTTTGCACTTTTGCGACATCACAGAAAAAAGAAATCTCGTTTGGGGTCAAAAAAGCTTGAACATTTCGATTAAATTATATCGAGTTAGGTGAATCGATATGCTTTGTCAGTTACTCGATAAATATTCATGTGATCGATAGAGAAGGTATAAATGCGGGAAATTAATCTTGATTGTCTAGTTGAGAATTGTAATCAACTTTGTTCCTTTCTTATTAGCTCGATTGTCTTTGATATCATTAGTGCGAGACTTTTAGGCATTCCGAAAAATTTCTATAACATATGTAAAGAGAGCAATTTCAAAAGCTAATATAGCGTATGAAAAACAAAATCGTGCATGAAAATCTCATTTTCTATTTGTATAATGTAAGATTGAAATACTTTTCATGAATAGAAATAATTAACAAATTCCTCATTTGAAAATGCGTCATTGCAACACGCGTTAGTGCTCAACAGTTGCGCGCAACAGTCTGCAAAGCCCTACGTGAACCGCAAAAACGTCAGAACACGCTTACCCGCGTATCTTCGACGTAATATATAATTTCTCAATCTAAAACTTGGCTGGATCTTTGAGAGTAACTTTTGCAGAAATTTAAAGCTCGACTCGTCGTTGATAATATGATTGCATTAACTGTTAAGTGAGAATCAAGAGACCAGACAGTTTCGATAAACTTCAATTAATTATCGCACGCGTGCGCATACTGTATTAACTCAAAGAACATCCGAGTCAGAGCACATAGTACCGCAGTCCGCATGTATGCAGCTATGGTATTATTAAGCCTAATGTGCCTTGTAATATAACGTGAGATTAGATTTCAAGACACGATGCTCGCTCGAAACATCATCTCTATACCTTTACCTCATTGCGATAGTCCCTTGATAAATTGAGTAGGACGATGACGGCAGAACATTGATATCACGTCTCGAAAGCTATTCCTTTGATATTCGACAATGCCGTGAGCTAGTCATAACGGGATATTACATTATCTTATGAAAAAGTTTGGCGCTCCGTGTGTCGCTATTAGACTCGTATTCAAGTAGGGAAATAAACAAGCGATGCCAAGTAGGGTAGAATATATTTTTTGTGAATGGTACGTAGCTTGAATTTTGGTCGATGCATATATCGTTGATACAACAAAACTCGATTGAATGTCCAAATGATTATTATTACTACAGCTGAGATATAAAAATTTCGGACAGGATAAAAACTTTAGTTGAAATTGACATAGTCATAATGATGCTTAATTTTATGCATGAAGTTGACATCAACGACAAGATGTACAGTGGGATAAGAAAAATGACAAAAATGGCACTGGTAAGCCATGTTGGTACAACTAACTAACGTGTAAGCTTGTAAAAAGATGCCTGCATTTCTGAGACAGCCAAAAGCAGAGTGAAAAGAAAAGTCCTGCATTTCATAAAATCTGCAACGGACAACACACAATATAAATCTCGAATTGGCCCCGACTTTCTCTCGCCTGTATTCAAGAGGGAGGCCTCAGCCATAAAGCTCGAGCACACGTGTGTACGTAGTGCGTGAGCGCGGGGCTAGGCAGCGGCGCGTTAAAACCGTAATTGTGTAGGCATGCTTTTATATAGCTCCGCGTGTAGTCGTGGGCCATATACGAGCGGATTTAACGCTCTTCTCTCCGCAGGTACTTGCTTAATAATAAATGCTCAGCCGTTATAAACTAACGAGCGTGCCGCGGTGCGACTATGGCACGTAGACCAGCTTTCCCTCTCTTTTTTTTTCCTTTTTCTCCTCGCGTCGAGGATGAAGATGACTGATCTTCTGCACATGCTTGCGAATTTAAGGCTCGAAAAATTCACTCGCTTATTCACGTCGCTTATCTCGATCTACTCACTTTTTGTTATTTATTCGCTAAGATCTCTTTCTACGCAAATGCCATCGCGCTAAACGTAGATAAATCGAATTTGCTTTATAGTGCGCAGCCCTAGTTTAAAGTTCTCTTCAATTTTTTAGATAAAAGCCGGAACGATTTTGTGAGTTAAGAGCATGTTAATCTTGGCACCATTCACTATTATTTCTATAGACACTTATTGACGAAAAATATATGCGTCGGAAAATTTTAATTAAGTGGATGATATTTTTCTCAATCGAAAAGTCCACAATTGTTATTTATTAATTACTCAGGTAACTCAAGGCCCAAAACTGTCAGATCGAAACACAAATGTGTCCGTTGAGGTGTTAATTACGAGCAGAGCTTGAAAAAAACCAATCACTGCAAATAATAATGCAAACGATCTAAGAATCGTGCGTATTTCTTATCGCCTGTCGCTTTATGCGCGTACCTAGTAATTACTTTATTATTACGTTGCCGCATAAGAAAAGTTAAGAAAGAAAATTTCTTGATCTAATTTAACCTGACTGTTAAAGGCTGAATTCGCAAACGGTTTTTTGCTCATTTCTGGTCGTAGTTTGGCAAAGCTGCTATAACTACTGAAAGTCGACGAATAAACTATGAAAACTTTATGGTTAAAAGACTGTGAGTGTATGTGTGAGTGTTTCGTAACTTTTTCTCTCTCTCCTCCTCTTTCTTTTTCATCTTCTTCGAGTCAACGCGTGTTTAGATTAAGTTCAGTTATTTATTTTTACTGAAAGATGAAATCTTTCAGTAAAAATGTTGTCTTTTTTGTACAAGTATATGAAATTGTTACCACTTGTGCATGTGTGCTTGGTAAAGCTTGATTTTTCCGAAGCTAATCAAGAAGCACAAGAAATGTCAAAAAAGAAGCGATGCAGCTAACTCTGTTATACGCAAAGCTTGCAGTGTTTTTTTTCACTTCGTTTGTCTTGACTATTATCTTCTAGCCCCTGCGGTAATTGAGTGCTGTGCTATTTTGTCCTTTGCAACCCAAGGGTGGGGAAGCAGCAGCTGATTTTTTGCAACTAAAGTTAGGCTTATTCAAGCTTGAATCTTGACACGGCATCGTTATCAATAAAGTCCAGCTTTTTCGATTTGAAATTAAGTATAAGACGTTTCTCGTATTCTTGGTAAGTCTCTGGGATTGTCTGATCTTGCAGATATGGGGAATGATGGCTAGTCTGGATGCTTTTGCTCTTCATACACTCGTTCGGCTCGTATTAGCGGGGCTTCGTGGCCAACTCTCCAAAAAAAGTGCAGATCTCACGATAGGCTTCATAAACTGTACAGAAGAGCTCGGATTCCTGACTTGTTGCGTCGTTACAGACTGCTGCGTCTACTACATAAGATATGAGCTTAAGTTTTATCTGACTGGCGGCTCGAGAAGCGGTGACACTGTCCTAGGAAATGGTCTTATACCGCCAACGTATTGGTTTATCTGTCCCTCAGCTTCTGTGACCGTCAAGCTTTTTTATGGATGCAGAGTTACTCGTGCATCGCAACACCGTGGCTATCTATCTCTGTTGCTCTTCTAACGAGCCCGACCGCATTAAGGGGAGGTTCTCATTTAGCGACCCAAAAATGACGTGATTTTTGAGATTACATACGCCATAACGAATCATCTTCCCGTTTGAGCTAATTTTTGAGCATCAGCCTTCATTCTAGTATTTATTGCATCGCTCCTAATATACTCTGAAACAATACCAATGTACTCAATTGTCACCAAGTCTCATTATAGCGTATTTTAAGTAAAAACGCGAAAGAGTTGTCGTAAGAATTATTCAAGTTCTTGGTAATATGCTCGAATTTTCCATCATTATTCCAAACTTGTACTAATATAGATTTTTGTGAATATTTCAAGCTAAAGATAATATTTAGATTTTGCTCGTTCGCGGGAAAATGTTAACTTAAATTGGGATAGCTCAAAAAGTTCATTTTTTTAATGAATTTGTTTCTTAATTGACTTTTTGTTCTACTATTTGAATCGTTTCTATTATTATCTTCTGGTGCTAATAATTGCTATTCATTCATATTGATTGGGAACAATACATTTTTTAAAATCAAATCTAATCTCTCTTTCTCTCATTCTCACTCTTTTTTTGTACAATTTTTAGCATACGTTCACAAAATCAGAAAAAACGTTGCCTCTACACAAGGCCTCGCAGTTTTAATTTTTTGCACAATTCAAGAATTGCCAACTTTGAATCAAAATTTAAGTCAAACGAGACCGCGGAATTTTTCACCGTATGGGCGATTTGATTAACGAATTCGCTTATAACCTCCGGTATTACCCGGGGTTATCATAAATCATTGCGAGAGATTAACACAATACAGTGGGAAGAATTCCCGAAATCACCGACGATGATGGTCCTATTTGATTTATGGCCAGGCGAAATGGAAAAGTACTCGGTAAAGGCTCACTTCCTCTTTTGCAATGCTCTTTTTTCCAAACCGATACACGAGTTTTATTTTAAAATACGCCAATGTATTACATTCAAATGCAGAGGCGTTAAGATTCATGTGAAGAATCTGTGGGTGTACTATAGACCGCGACCCGTTGAAAACGATTCTTAAGATTTGATGATTTTTCCCTCATTTTGCCAGTATCATCGAGGTACATAAGCTATTAAGCTTACGTTTATTAATTTTTGGATACAGCCTCAATTTTACTTTGAAGATACATATTAGATTTAGCCGTGCCAGCAATTGACTCGATAGATTTGCTTGTATTTTGTTTGTGCAGTAACATATGTGCGTATATTATCACTATGAAAAAAATCAAATCAATTGGATTGAGTGGTACGTACATAAACATATGAGTTATTCGTGACTCAAAGTATATAGGCAAATATGCGTAGTCCAGGCGAGCCAAGATAGAGATCTGGGTTAATAAGTATGTCTTGCCCGGGCGTGGATGTATTAGAACTGTCGTACATACGAACTCACACATAGTCAGCTGCAATTAAAGTAAACGACTCTCGCGACCATTCGTTTGGATTATGTTTTTTTCTCTCTCCGTCTCATTTCACCACTGCTGCACGTTTCTCATTTATTATATAGAACTACACCCACACTCTTAGTCGCGATCGTGCAGCCGTAGTCTCAGCCGTCGTCATCGTCGTTTCTCTCTTGCACTAAGCCACGGGCATAAGTGTGAAAATGAAAATGAAAAATGAATTACTACTTACGCCTTGATTCTGTGTACACACGCGCGCCTTGCATACCCTCTCTTCTCCCCCTCTTTTAATATGCCGATTCGCACATAGATATAGAGATTGCACTCGAATTTTCTCCGCGAGGTTTTGCTGTTTAATAATGCATGAGGATAAGCTGCTGAATTGCCATTACGCCTTCGTCACGAGTGTCGAGCGTTCTCGCGTAAAAAATTACAATACTATCGGTTATCATTCGATAAAAATAATCGAATCCATTGCGTGCTTCAGTGCATTTTGTCCAAGTCGAGCGTCAACAATCACAGTGAGCCCGTAATTCTAGACTATATGTTTTCATATATTATGTTATAGAAAAGCACGTGAAGCTTAATGAAAATATCATTGTATACACAATTAAATTCCCTCAAAGATTCTCTCCCCTGTGACGCGTTTTTTGTCCGGCTTTTATTTCCATCCAAATGGGATCAAACCTAAGATCGAGAAAGATACAGGGATACAGAGAAAGATAGAAAAGAGGGGGAGGAACAAAAAGCAGATTGATGCTCCTGGCACAGCGTGAAAATAAACCTGTTTCCCCCGTGTCTGCATGTGTATGTGCTTGTGCTTGTGTTTGTGTGTGTGCGCGTGTCATGTGTATACACAGTCACACCCATATTTTATATCAAACAAACATTTATTATTTGTCAAAGCTTGTCTGCGCCATTTTATATATGAAACATACTGCAAAGATAATGTTTTTTTTCATTCGAAAATTGTGCTCTTGCTTCGATAAAGGATCATATACCCTCTGAAAATAAGTACATTTTTACATCTGCTCACAAGTGCGCGCAGGACTATTATTCGATATTACTCACTTTTTCTGTATTTATTCGCGAGGAAAACTCTTGAAACGTTTGAATATAAAAAGACTCCTTTTTTTCAATGCTCATATTAATTTTAAACGTTTCCCGTGCATTATTAACTTTCGCAATTACACACATTCTATATAATTACCTTTTCAAACATCTTCTTGGTTTGGCTAAATCCGAGATAATTTGATTGCAACCAAGTTTTGGCCAACTCCTTGGCCAAATCTTGGGCGGGCAAATAATTCGTCTGGCGTAGGCCTTGCACAATGATTGATTGCAGAGGTGGCCAGGCATTTGGATAGTCCCACTGCTGACTGCTATTATCTAAAGAAGCTGGTACCCCACCTGCAAGTGCAAAAAAATGTTTACTTTATCCCCGTTCTAATGGTTTTACATGCACTTTCAAGCTACAGTAGATATGAAAGTGTTTCAATACCTTTTTTGAAAATTGAAATTCAAGGCTTGTTAAAAAAAGTGCAAAACTAATAATTTTCACGTAGCTGTTCAGACAAATTATCAATATAAATTATAACAATTTTTCTTATTGGCTCTATGCATTTCCTCAAAGAAATTGGATTATATTGAATACTTGATCGAATCGTGTTGACCTTGTTGCTAGAATAAGAAGCTAAAGCTTTTGTTTGTTGTCTAACCATCTAATCTAAGAATATGCAAAAATAAAAGGTCAATCAACCGATTCAATAGAACGATTAATCCGTTCGGTGAACTTTTTCAAGGATGTCGAGTGAAAATTTAGCTGCATTTCTAAGAGCTTTAACAAATTCAGCGGAAATTTAGTAATATTACAAAGCTCGACAAGTACATTGAAATCGTGACGACGTCGAAGTATCGAATTTGTTTCTTCATCGCGTCTCTCGGGTCAGGATTTATTGTTACGTATAAGTGCACAGTGGTGAGCGTTACCCATTCATTCGTTTGCGTTGACGTACACGCTTGGACGCAAAATAATACCAACAAATAGTGAACTACGGGTGAAATTTTGCTCAATTGATTTATGCATATTGAGATACTATTTTATATTTTATTTTATAATTATATGCGCTTCAAAACAATTTATGTTTCTATTAATTAAAAACAATCATAAATAATGATTTTCCAATCTTACTATCCAATATAAGTAGTATATTTTGGACCTAAGGAGTGAAAAATATACTATACTCTTTATAATTGTAAATTCAGAAGACATACCGAATGATTCTGACCACATTTTTCGACCAATTTATTCCATTAAGGGCTTAAAATTTTTGCTATATAATCTTCTCATATGTGGGTCAAACAAGTTTTTGTTAAAAATATTTCTTTAGCAGTCTTAAAATGCATTTGCGTTTTATTTGCGTTTAAAAAAATCCAATTTTTTTCATTTTATTTTCTTTTAATGTGTAAAAAAAAATTTCTACACATTTTGAAATTGAGCTCTACCAGATTAGTTAAAAATTGTGGTCAGTATCATGCGATAATACCCAGTGAAATGATAAATCATTATTGAATGGTCCTGGGCTGATGTAAATATTTAGATGTGTTTGAATCATATTTTCCGTGGTAAAAGGACCGAGACAAAGACAGTTATAAAAATTTAAAAATAATGATTTGATCAGTTTGGATTGTTTTTAATTTATAGTAAAAAATGTAGTCTCGTCCTTTTAAACTAAGACTTTTTTAAGAAATAAAGTCGTAAAAATCACATCGTATATATGTATACATTGAGGGCTTGAATACAAAGAGCTCGACGTGTATATATTTAAACCTCGAGTGATAACATTAAGCTTTATGACTTTGCTTCAGCGGTGCATATACTTTATACGAGCTCTTTTATACGGAAAAGCTTGGATCATTTATTCGCAAATCTTTAAGCTCTGAAATAGTACGAAAAAAAATAAACATTAATTTTTCATTTTAATTTACGGTGTCGCAGAAATGTGAGCTACACTTATCGACCCACGCACGTGTCTTTGAAATCGCTTAGAACTAGTTTAGGTTGCCTTTTTTTACAATCACACATATTTTTAGCTCGATGATGAGATTTACTCTCTCTATAACAGGGATTATATGTATATATCGACCAAGAATGGATCGTATGAAGCATTGTTCAGGCTTTGCCAGTAAAAACATAAACGCACTAATGTATTTTCGATATGGGTAAACTCACTACTGAAATCGGATGTGAGCTAATAAATACATTTTTCCATGTGCATGAATATTTATATACATTGGATATTTTAAAGAGCTTGAGAAATATAATGGAAATGCAGATTCATATTGGATTTGAAGGGCGAGGGGGAATTTGAACGGGGAATTAATGTCCCTAAGTTTTGAATTCGTTTTTAGTTTGATACTTCGATAGATCGAATATTGTTTATGCTCGTACATTTTCTCTAGGTGCAAGGCCGTCCGAAAGTTTTTACAAGTAATAGCTGCTACGTATCATAAAATATATACTAATTTTAGCAAAAGCGACGCCAAAATGACTTACGGCATCTAGCTTGGTACGATTTTTTTGTTCGTTAATCTATTTATCAGGGTCGATATTAAAGTGGACATTTTGTAACACATGGTAATTTAAAAGATGTATAATGAAGCGCGCGATAACTGATTGGCAAAATACAAATATTGAAAATAAGCACTTAAAATGTTGGGACTGGTGGTTGATTTTTACGACCAATCATTATTATTTACTTTTATAGAATGAAATTGAGATAAAAATAGAAAACGAAAGTAACTTTTTGAATTGGCTTACCTTCGAAATTTTCAATTCCTCTCGCTTGCAAGTAATTGGTGGCTTTTTTTCCGTACAGCGAAGCTTTAGCCGGATTGTAACTCAGCGTGTAAAGAGGAGTCAAATTCGTCGCGTAAAAGAGCCTCCTAGGCTTGTGATGCTTGTTGTCCCAGTCGTACCAGATGCCGTCGACTTCGTTCCACAGCACCTCGTCAATACCTCGGCGGTATTCCTTCGCCACGGAAGTATAATACTTCATTTTCTGGAAGATTACCAAAAGTTTTTTGTTCTCTTTTGATTATTTTCACGATTCTTTTGTCGTGCATCGCGAGTAAATCCGCGTGAATGCGAGTACACGTGAATATAATGAAGCGGTCAGTTGGTAAATCTTTCGGACGTACTTTGGGGCGGGATAATGAGCTTACATTTGAGGCAAAATTTGCGCAAAACATAGGGGTTGCCGAACGTGTGCATTGTCCGTTGAGCGCACATAACACAAAGGAAGCCGTTGGTGTACGATTAAATGAATTTAATAATGCATTCGATCGATCAATCCTTGCTTGTTGCGCCGAGTTATTTATGTATCGCGCGTTCGAATTTCAATATACTGCCCGCCTAGGACGTGTAGGCCGGTGCGTATGCGTCAACTAGTGAGCTATAAATTGTGTATAAAACCAAGTCTCTCGGCTGTGACGCCCGATGGATATTAGAGCCTAATTGCACGTATCGCGCACTACACAATAAAAATGATTTTCTATTTATTCCTGTCCAGAGAAGACAGCCCCGAGCGCCCGACTATTTCCCGACTTTGAGAGCTTTGATGCATCGACGGGGTTCGATACGGTCGACTGGTCAATTTTAAAGTGTATCACGCTGGATCGATTCTAGCCTATATGCTGTACCTTGAAATTATTCTTTTTTCGATTGTAGCGCGCGAGCGTGCGCGCATTCTGCTCCAAGAAAGCGTTGAGGTCCACCGGGATGATGTCTTCGGTCGTGATATCAGCGAGGTCCAGCGAGGGCTCACCCTTGGCATCGACGAACCAACGAGCTGAAAAATCCCAACCAGTCTCGGCGCCAGCCTTGACGTTGTTGTAAAAAGCTTGCCTCTTAACGGGGTCGCTGATGTTTTCCGCGAGAACGTAATCCTCGCGGAAGCTCTCGGGTCTGGGGCCTGCGCTCCGACAGACGTATCGAGCCATTTTGTACTGAAGGCCGTTTTTATGAACGGTGACAGTTTTGTAGTTCTGCCAGTAACTGAATTCCTTCTCGAGGATCGCGAGATTCCTGTCGACAAAGTCCCAGTCTTTCGTCACTTCGTAATATTTGTCCATCATCGGTATAAGCAGAGGCGGTTGACTCCTCATTAGGTAATATATCCTGCCGCCGTTTGGCACGAAGCCATAAGTCGAGACCATGGACAGGAAATTTTCAATTAAACCTCGAGTCGTGTCGTGCATGTCGCACAGCAGCAATCCCTCGATGACCCAAAAACTGTCCCAGTAGTAAAACTCTGCGGGCATTTAATAGAGGCGTCATGCAAGCGAATGAATGATCGACGAGTGCGTTATGCTAGTATCTGTACAACGAGCTGCACATGGATCATTGGCACATTTTTGCCTTACCTTTAAATCGACCACCCGGAATGATAAATGTATTATCGACGTATATCAGACTGTATCTATCGGGGAATTTCTTGACGTCGCTCGTCATGTGCCTGGCCAAGGCTTTCCAGATATAATTGAGGTCGCTGACCCATTGACGATACACGGGGTCACGAATACGACGCATTAAGCTCGGATTGGCCCGCCAATCCTTGAGCGTTGCATTGTACAGCTCGTCCTTGTCATCGAAGTTGTCGTCAATGAATTGTTTAATTTCCATCTTGCTTGGCTTTCGCTCTGTCTTTTCCATTAACTTTTCGAAACTAGGATATTATTTGGATTAGTACCATTGCTTTCGATTGATTTGTACAAACATCTCACACTTACTTGGCTAGGGTGATGTTTTGGTCTTGCTTCTGATAAAGTCCGACAAAGGTTTTGCTGTCTGGGTAGATCGCCGCTAATTGTATCGTCTTTAGTAGTTCGCCTTGACAGTAGATTGGACTGTAAATTGATTGGAAAAATCGAGTTTTACGTTTATATCTTTTCCGTTTACATATTGATTCAGTCATTTGAGCCGTATGGTGTTTTGATATGAAAAAAAGAGGAAACTCTCATCCATAGTAATACAAAATAAGAAAATCATATCTTAGAAGCAAACAATGTTGTCAATCAATCGCAGTACTGTCAACGATATAAGAAATACTAGAAGAAAAAGTAGGAGGTGAGAAGCTTGCAACATGGCAAAAAGAATCGTCCGAGAAAAATATTGATGTGACTGCCGCCGTAAAAATACACTTTCACGATATTGATTTTTTTTCTCCGTATATTGTAATATTTTTTCAAACTGCCAGGTTGTGACGTGATAGTTCTTTAAAAATTTAAACATAATATAATAAAATTAATTATCAATCTTAAATTTTCATGAAATTTATCATAGAAATTTGAAAATTCAGATACTTAATATTTTAATAACTTCTTTAACAAAAGCTGGCAAATTTATTGAAATCGAATGTGTTAGTAGAAACTATGCACGTAAAAGAACGCATAAAATAATATTTATATCTTCTGATATATTAGTATTCAATCCATGAACAAATAGAAATGTATCATATGTATACTCCAATACTTCCAATCCAATCCAATAAAAACTAAAAAATCTAAAATTCCAGAACTTTTGTTGCAGTCAATTTTGCCCAACAAGATACAATTTCAATGAAAGATCAAACATTTTCAAACTTTCCATTAAGTTATACTTGTTCAAATTATTGAAAAAATGTCTCTGTTTTTCAACTCTTACACGTAATTGTTTATACATACTTGAGAATTTGAAATTCATTGGATTGTTAGATTTTTTAGGCCCGTTGATGAATAAATATTTTAGGGGTTGGTTAAATTAAAGTATTTCATTCGTCCCTGCAGCATGTATACGTATGCCTATAGAATATTCATGTAGGATTATAGTTTGAATAACCCTAAAAAAATTGTCAATTTGTAATAGAAATAAGTGTCGAAGAATACAAAATTTAAAGTAGCAAAAAACCGAATTTTTTCCCGTAGCTTCAGAGCTGTGTACCAAAAAACGAATACAGAGCGCTCCTCATCATGGCGCATATTCTTTATCTTAAGTGCAGCTTGAGCAGGCATTACGGTCAAGCGTACCCATTCAATACCTGCTTGACTTGAATTGGAAAAAAATAAAAAAGTACAAAGTCATAGCAAGTATCGAAGTTCAATTCAAACTGTCTATACAGAAAGAGAGAATTCAAAATTGCCTTCTTATTATCTTACAGAGTCTTTTCAAACATTTTAAATGTTTAAATTCCAACACTGGATAAAATACTGTGATTTTCGTAATAAATTAAAATTTCAATTTATTTTACAGAGCAAGCTTCTCTACTGGCTCAAATTCAATACATATGCTAATTAATAAGTCCTAGATTTCTTGTTCCAGTTGTTTGTACAAGACGCAACTCGACTTAAATTTTGAAAAAAAGTCGCAGCAGCAAACAAAGTCACACTACATAACAATGCTGAAATCACGCGCACTAATTGGATTTCTTCTCTTGTTTCCCCTCCTTTCCCCTCCTCAAGCTATGACAAGCAAGTCTTGCGGAGCAGTTATATAATAATTAAAATGACGAGTTCCAACGAATACAACGTTTCATCATATTGCATTTTCATGCTACCCCAGCCGAAACAAACCTTTTTCGTCCCTGCGGCCAAAACGAAAAAATTAATTTCTGCTGGGGGTACCTATGAAGCGAAAAAAGAAAGCCTTAGAGCTCGTGTTTATCAACTTCGGCTTCGCCTCGACCGATAATTACACGTGCTCTGAGGTTTTCCAGTTTTTCGCTCCAAAGGCACGTAATATACTATTTCGACCGTTGCCACTCTCAGTTGGAAGCCGCAAGTACTAGAAGATGATTCTTAGCTCCGTTCTCAACTTTTAGCACTACAACTGAGGTTTCAGTAATCATCCGGTCGCTTGATTGTCGCGTCTATATAACTACTGAGATGTCCGATAGCATGATCGAAATGAAATTAAACACTGAACCGCCATGCCTGTGTGTACGCACATATAACAGGACTCTATATCGATTCGTGATCAGATCACTGGTCTGAAACACATGTATATATACAGTTTATATCTATTAATGTTCGAAGCACGCATACGCTCTCACTCACGCACGTTGGTTAAATCCCTCAATCCGTCATAATGTGCAGAAGCAGAGAATGTTGCAGTTTTAAAAGTTATTATTCAGTTTAGTTTGCAATAGACAGAATATAGTTAAGTATTGTCCAAGTATAAGAATCGAAGTAAGGAATTTACTAATTTCCATTTCCAATTTGAGTCCAATGTAAGCTCTAATAATTTGGTTAGCTTGGGACGTCAATTTATTAATTTTTGCGAAAAACTTTTAAAATTATAAGGTACCGTCGATTTGAATAGCAAGTATACGATCCTTAGAAAGCATTCAACAGCCGGGTCTTGCTGTGCTACACATACAGCTCGAAAACCACCGTTTCTATTACATTATTGAACTTGAAGCAAAGTAAATGAGTCTTCACTTCATTACAACAATTTTATTTGAGCGTTATTTAATCATTCCCAAGCAACATAAAACATTTAAAAAATTGTTTTCTAAGGATGAAAAAGGTACTTTGTCTAAAAATAAGTTAAAACTTTTAAGGTGTGATTTCTTAATAATATGTAAGATAAGAAAACCTAAATTATTTTAAAATTATTTACTTGACTAATATTAAAAAAATTAGTAGCTCAGTCCTGAGTGAAGTTACGACTAAAACACTGTAAAGTTTTTGATAGGTAATTGTTCAAACTCCCAGAAAAAAATTCTCCAAAAGGGTCTGAACTTTTTATGAGTTTGGAACTACATATAGAGATGTATAGAGCGATGTAGAGATGTATATATTTATGTTGTAGACAATTGTCAAATAATACCTACGGAAATTTTGTCATTAGGTTGATAAGTTTAACAGACAAAATTTAATTAAAAAAAACATTAAAATAGCAAAACTAGTGTTTTTTAACGACTGCTCAAATCCTTCGGGTATATTTTTTATTTTGAAAATGTACAGAATTTTTTACGAAATATACGTAACACTTTCTTCAATCTGGATTGAGATATGAATACTAGTATAGCAATATTGTAATTACTGATTTATCATCACATTGTTGATATGATTGTTTTGACAAAAGAGCTTAATAATTACTTAATAAAGACCGTACGCCACTTTTCTTTTATATAGACGACAGGTTTCAGCAAGCACCAAACTTTGACGTACTCCTGTTGCTAGAAAAAATATTGTGCCTAAGAGTTATTACAATTGTATAGCTGGGAATTCATAAAAGAGACTCAATGGAGTGATAAGGACTGCAAACTTTCCACGCACAGGAAATAATCTTTGATAAAAAAAAAAGAAAAAAAAAGAGGAGAGTGGGCATAAAGTGCAATTGTACATTCGACAAATAACGAGAAGAAAAATGATTCGACAATGAGACAAAGTTTGAGGCACGCGTACTATAATTTTTTTTCTAACAAACTCCTTGTGTGTGAGTCTCAAAAACTCTCTCCGTGCATACATTCCTGTTGAGTGAAAAAAAGTGGAACGAAAGAACTTTACTGTGAATACGTACACATAAAAGCTCACCTATCCCATTTTCTTCTACCTGACGATACATATATTTTTTATCACATTAAATACTCAAGATTTAATGAACAATCATATTCGCTTCCAAAATCAATATTTTAATAAACACGCGGCGCTTTCAACAAGGAAAAAAAATAAGAAAACATTGCGCTGTATCATCGATAACATCGACACTACATAATATACGCGTCGAACATAGTCGTCTGCTTTTTATCATCCGTATAGCATCTTCTTCTCTCGTTTTACGCTGATGTAAGTGCAGAAGAGATCCGTTGACATTGATGGGTGATGTTTTAATTATAACGTCACCGTAAAATAAAAGAGAAAGAGAATGAAAGAGATAAATTTTCTTTTGATAGGCTCGTTGCGTAAGGTTTAATTTAGCGAAAAATTGAGATTCGTTTCACGCTCTAGTTTATTATACCCTTATATATCTATGAGTAAAAGATGCGATTGAGCATTTCAATTGAAAAATTATTGGAATTGATTTTTTAAGCGCATTCGATAAGATAGCTACTCAAGCTTTTTCACCATGTGCTCAATAAAAGATTGAGATAATTATCAATATTTTTTTACCTACCCACGTGCTACAAATACGTTAAAAAGCTTCAATCGATAGTTTTCATTGATGGTAGTTTGCGAAAATTCTTCATCGAATACACAAGCCCACGGAATATTACTTGCTTACATCGAGTAAAGATAATAAGATAAAAATGCAGCAATTTTCTGTGCCATACTCGATTAATTGCAAAGCTAACAATCGCACGCGATTCAAATGGTAAATATTATCGTCGTAAGCACGACAACTCAATTTAATTAACCCATTAAGTTCGGGACGGACACATTTTTGATACTTTTTTGAACCGTTGTACTTTTGCTGGAAATGGGGTCTGGGGAGAACTTGCAAGTAAGCGTATTCTACGCAAAATTTAATGAACTTTCCGAATCCAGTGTCAGATTTTCGATATAAGAAACAGGTCAAAAGTTATGGATGGTTTTATAAAAAAAAACGTGATTTCGAAAATAAAATTTTTTCTTTTAAAATTTTCACATGAAAATCTTTTAAATCCTGGCGTCTTCGGTACAAATAAAGTGTCCATGGGTCCTTTTCTTAAAGTTATGACGGTTCCAATTAGTAAAATATGATTTTAAGTACAAAAAATGGTGACTGGAAAACGAAAATATATGAGGAAATTTCTGGAATTTTTAACTTAAAAACGATGGATTTTTAGAATTTATCAAAGAACTAATTCATCAGGTAAATTTTTTCCTTAAATTGAAAATCTGACACCAGATTCGGAATGTTCATTAAATTTTGCGTAGAATATGCTTACTCGCAAGTTCTCTCCAGACTCTATTTACAGAAAAAGTACAACGGTTCAAAAATTATCAAAAATGTGTCCGTCTCGGACTTAATGGGTTAAGTAATTTCTTGCATTTCATTTTTATTTCGACTTTTGTAGTATAAAAAGCGGGAAAATTATCGTTGAGAAAAAATTGTCAATCATCAAGTTTTTGCAAGAAAAAAAATGAATGCGACGAAAGGTGCAAGCATTTTTCCCGGTTCTGGACATCGAAGTATAAGAATAATTTTAGGAGTAGTTGCACACGACGAGAACAAATTGTGCTGTCGAGAGCAACAAAATAAACGCACCTCTGGCACAGATCCGGTACCTCGTTCCTAACGACCTCGTCGCTAAATCCTTCGTAGCTTGCCTCGATACTGGAGCGGTCATTCTCGGCACTGATGTATCTCAAGAGGAAGCTCAGCTGCAGTTGCAGCAGCAGTAGCCAAAGCGCGCCAGTTCTCATGTCTTGTAATTTACACGCCAGAGTACGGATCTGTCCTTCAAAGCCCACGACGACTAAAGACTACTGTTTCAGGAAGAGCTCGGGACCGGACATGCTACACTCGGCGCGCGATTGTTGTATTATATATGCCGACGAGCGTCTGACTGATAAGGCCGAGTAATCGCGCAAGCTCAAGTCCATTGGCCGTGTTATTATCGTAATGTGTAGCGGCGCGCGTATGTGCGTCTCAGCGCGTGTACTCGTCTACATGTATATGGCCGATTCTCTGTGAAATCGAATGGCCAAAAAAATTTTTTTTCTGCAAATATGAAAAACTTGCTGTTCCCGATGTCAGAAATGTCCCCAAATTTTATTAGAATTTTTGGGACCATCTATCACTCTTTTTCAGGGGCCCGAAGTTGGCCATTTTAGGGTTTTTTTGAAATTCATGAAAAATCACAAATATTCAAATAATTCCTGGATTAAAGTAGAATGATTCAAAAGTAAAAGTGCCCAGCAACTTTTTTGTTGGAAATTGTCCAAATTTTCAGAAAAAAAATATGCCAAAGTGATTGGAGCCACCCAAAGAGAGCATAGTGGGAAAACATAAAAAAAAAACACAAAACAAGAAATCTACTCGAGTTCGAACCGGACTTTCATTTCCTAAACTATGTGAAAAGCTTCCCAAAGATGTCAACTAATGCCTGATAAAGTTTTGTAATGGGTCTTAAAGTTTAACGCAATGTAGACAACAATGTGTGGCGAAAAACATGCAAAAAAGGTCAAAACTAGGCCCAAAATGCCTAAAATCACCAAAAACAGCCATTTTCAGGCCTTTTTTGCACGTTTTTCGCTATACATTGTTGTCTACATTGCGTTAAACTTTAAGACCCATTACAAAACTTTATCAGGCAGTAGTTGACATCTTTGGGAAGCTTTTTACATAGTTTAGGAAATGAAAGTCCGGTTCGAACTCGAGTAGATTTCTTGTTTTGTGTTATTTTTTTTATGTTTTCCCACTATGCTCTCTTTGGGTGGCTCCAATCACTTTGGCATATTTTTTTTCTGAAAATTTGGACAATTTCCAACAAAAAAGTTGCTGGGCACTTTTACTTTTGAATCATTCTACTTTAATCCAGGAATTATTTGAATATTTGTGATTTTTCATGAATTTCAAAAAAACCCTAAAATGGCCAACTTCGGGCCCCTGAAAAAGAGTGATAGATGGTCCCAAAAATTCTAATAAAATTTGGGGACATTTCTGACATCGGGAACAGCAAGTTTTTCATATTTGCAGAAAAAAAATTTTTTTGGCCATTCGATTTCACAGAGAATCGGCCATATGTATAATAATGTACAACGCTATGCGTTTCTGTAACATACAGACGAGAATGAGCATGCCTCAAGGCATATTTTGATTTGGCCAGTGATGAGACATTACCACCTCCTCCCCTCCCCCCCTCCCCCCTCCCCCTCATCATTCTGGATCCCTTGACTTTGTGAACGTTACATGCCAAGCATACTGAAAAGTAAATACCTCAATTTTATTGTTTTGGCATTCCTTCGGCTAAAATAATGCAACGGACAGTATATCAAACCTGGCTGTGTATTTTTAAAATTTCACAAATTTCAAGCTTGCAGAAAATGTGCACGGCTCTATATTTTTTTTGTACACGTGGGAAAAAAATTACTCGAAAACAAAAAATTCTGATATTTTAGCCGACGGCAACATGATGTTTGCAAGCTTGGGATTGATAAAACTAGTGTTATCTGCAAATTATGCATTGAGTCGGCGAAATATTTTTGGTTTAAGAAAAATAATGTAACGGCAAGAAAAAAAATGTCTTTGCATTTTTGATATGATATCCGTTTTTTTATGAATTACAAAATGTTGTGTTAAATAGTTTTACTGTGCAATGTACAACTCAAGATACGCAAGATATATTTAACGGTTAATTATGCAACTTTGATAAGGCAACTGATAATCAGTGCGGATAATCTTGATTAATTATTCGACCGTATGAGCAGGAACTTTGAAAAGGAAAATTATATTATATGTCTTCAACCAGAAACTAGCTTAATAAACTCAATATTATAGTATTGATTATCATAGTTAAGATTTTGCGAGAGTTAATGAGATAGGTATTAGTTTTTGATATTTGTAAATATAGTTGCTATACTTTCTTATCTTTTCAGCTACTTATGTACAAAATCTTAGTTCTTGACTTACGCGAAGATGACGAGCCCCTCTGACACTCCCTTGCACTGATATTCAATTATCTGTGCTTTAAATAACAACAAAATTTAATCATTATCGATTTTTTTCTTAAATATTTTATCGAATTTGAAACTCATGCAACTTTATTTATTGATCTGATAAATCCAAAAATTGTTTCCGTACATACAATTCAATCAACGCCAAAACTTAGAAAATAGGTACGAAATTTATAGAAATGTTCATTATGAAACATTACTGATACAATCTACGTGACTATATAACTTTTCACTCTATATGTAGTAAAAACAAATTATTATTTTTGAACATTATCAAAGAATTCAAATTGAAGACAAATTGTTAGTTAAATATTGTACGTACCGACCAATTAAAAATGTCATAAATTTTCTTCGCAATTTGTCCAGTTGGAGAATTAGATAATCAAGTGTACGAAGTAAGCGATTCAATGTAATTTATATGCCTTTAACGTTTATATTGACTATTTCTAGGCAACATTTTTAGCGATGAATTACATCAACTTAAAATTGTTGACATTTCAAAACACTTTTTGTTATATACATTTTTTTCATACAGTTAATTGTTATCGAGTTGAAAATTTTCAAAATCATTCTATGACATTCAGGTATTCGGGAGTGATATTTATGATCGCCATGTTAAATTTCGTAATTATAACTTTTTTTATAGGCGTTGGACGCCTGACTGAACCTTTCCATGTTGACATTTGAGTTATACAAGTTTTTTTCTTGAAATTTCATTTTTTTTTTGAATTGTCGATAAATTTGTATAAACAACATTTTCTAAAATTTTAACACCAGATTCGGAAAGTACGTTAAATTTTATGTAATAAATTATATCACAAAAGGTTCTTAAACAGTTTCAAGTAGATGTAATACATCGCTTAAAATGTTGTCCAGATATGGTAAATTCAGGTGTTAATCAAATTTCTACGTTCCACGTAATAGATAACAATTAACGATTGCCAAATGCTCTATTGGTCTTCGGTTCGTTTCTACTCTTTGATCGCACACCGTAACTGCATCAAAGGGACAAAAAATCCAAATAACCGATGGCTCGCGTAATTACTTCGTATCCGGTGTAAGAATAATTGGCACGATACGAGGGTGACTACTAACCGTGGTCCTATGAGCTCTATTTGGCGTAAAATTGTCCTGCGACAAATGAGTGGATTATCAAATTGATGCGCTTCCAACAACGGGTTAAAAGACGCCAGAGCGAATAATGGCGTTGATGGAAATTAAATTTTCTCGCCACTGAAAAGGGAAATAGTAAAGCTTTTCTAGTTAGAATTTTACTTCAGAGCTTGTATGCTAATAAGACTCAAGGGAATTAGCTAAAATTAAAGTTTGAAAAGTCTCAATCTACGCGCCAATGTGTACAAAGCCTCTTTTGACTTTCGTGATCATAATTACTTTTTTAAAGCCACAACAAATTCGACCAATTTAAAGCGCGAGAAATCATTTGTCGACCCTTTTTTATTAACTTTTCCAATGCGCACCCACTGAAGTTGGGCGCAAGAGAAGTGTAGCTGTCGCTACTTACACAACGACGCAATCGGGGGAAACTTTTACGTTTATATACTTTTGTGCAGTTCAAGAAGAAAGAGGCAAGGAAAACAATGTGCATGTGAGAAGCTCCAAGATCGTGCGCCAGATATCTTTCAAGGAGGATACGGGCGAGTATATTCATTTGAGAGTGTAATGAAGCAAAAAGAAGAGAGAGAGTGAGAGAGAGAACGAGAAAAAAAGAGAAGCTACAGAAAAAGAGGCCAAGGGGGTGCTTGGGTGCTCGCGCTTGCGACGAGTTAACTATGTTTTTATCTTCACATTGCGCAAACAAAAGACTCGCGAGGCTAAAAATGAGTGGTAAATTAAAAAAAACGAATAAACCCGAACGAGTAACTGCATAATCGCCGCATTAAATAAATAGAAATGACGATCGTAGATGTTTGTATATACGAGATCGTGCATGCATGTGTTGTGGGGTAGGCCAATACATAACTGCCCGTCATCCGACAAGCTGCTCAGGTTCCATAGTGCTTCATATAAATACACTTTTTCCTCTTTCTTTCTCTTGTTATTCTCTCAGCTCCGTTTCTTTTTTTATTACCTCGACAATAGGCCGATGTACGCTAGTTCGACCCTAGGTGAGATCGAGGTCGTGCCACGTGGAATTTTCCAGATGCTATGTGTGTTTATGAGAGAGACAGAGAGAGAGAGAGAGAGAGATAGAGATAAAGCTAAAATACAAAAATTGTACTGTTATTACACTTCTGTAAAACTTTGCAACGTTACGATATTTTTGATGCACTCATAGTAAATAATGCATTCCTTCTGATTTAAAGCTTCGGCGTAAATGTAAAAAAAAGGCATGGTTATTCGATTTCCGGACTGGGATAAAAATCGTATATTTCGTCTACTCTCATTTGGTTGCCACCAGCTATGATTTATTTCTCCCTTTTAATAAATCGTCCTACAATTGTTATCACTTAATAATATCAGAAAATCTTTTAATTTATACTTCCACGAACAGCTACGGCACGTGAGCAATTCGAATACGCAATTTCGAAAAAGTTTCTGATTCTTTGTTCTCTTTTTAACCAGCACGAGTATACAGAAACTGTAAAACTATTTGATTGAAATTCACCCAGGTGTCCTCCTACGCGCGCATAGCATCGCGCATAGCAGGCAAAGAATCGTACGCAATAAATTTTTGAATCGCGAAGCGTGTGAAACGCGACAGAGACCTCAATTTCAAATTCATTTATTCCTCGGCAATGTAAATGAACACTATTATTATAGTCAGAGATGCAGCCAGCATGTATATATAGGAATAAAAATTGCCGCGAAATACATGCTCGATCGCGATAAAGCAGAGATTTCTGACGAAACTTGAAGTTGACAAGCTTTGTCACTCGTTC